ACTCTGAACACTTTACCACTATGAGCATAAAAGTATTTTGACTCTATCCCAGTTAGTTGAGGAAACCCTATTCTGCCGTTAAAACGATGTTTAATGTCACATCGTTTAAACGACGATATATTGACCAAATTACGCGTTTATCACAAAAAACGATTTTCTACGTCATAAAGTAATATTATGTTCTTGTTGTTTAAACGTCGGATTGTAAATGTCATAAATAGTGATTTGTTGACGTTAAAACCATAATTTTTCTTTATTTTATCTGTCGTAAACGATACTTTACTTGAAAAAGAAGTTTAATATTCCAGAATCATCTTCGTCTTACATGTAACCTAACCATTTATCTAATTTTATCAATTTGATGATGGACAATACACGTTCGTACTTTTTCTCAATATCTCAATGCATTTCAATGAGTAGGTCTCATTTTGTTTTCGAAAAAGAAGTTAAATTTCTAACAACTCAAAATATTTATTTAAACAAATGAAAGTTCATGCATCTATAAAACATAAGATATGAATAGAAGTCTCTTCTACAAACTTTTCTTTTTGTATTGATATTTGTTCAAAAGACTTCTACTCATGCCTTATGTTTTAAAGATGTATGAACTTTCACTTCTTTAAATAAATATTTTGACTTTTTAGAAATTTAACTATTCTGTTTTCTTGAGAATAAAATGAGATCTTTTCATTAGAATATGTTGAGATATTATAAAAACCTGGCTGCACTCTTTCTTCTGACGCATCGATCATTTTTTAAAAGTCTTTTTTCTATACTCTTCGTAGGTGATTAGAAATTTGTCGATCGCTCAAGGATGATGCGTTTGTCTTACATCTGATAAATATTCTATCGAAATCCTCTCAAGTTTTTGTTATGAATTCTGGAGTCCAGTTTATTCTAATATCTATGGAGAAATATATAACTAGTTACAAAGTTGTGATTTATGATAATCTCGATGAATAATGAAAGAAGAATCTAAATTAGTTTATTAGTATCAGATATGTATGTGATAATGAAACTTAGACTTTTAAGACGAATTAATGAATTGATACGACAAACGAAAAATTCTAGGGGAAAAATACCATAGATAAAACGATGTCAATTTTTTGGTATATTTTATCAAAAGAAAATATTGAACAACAACACTATTGACGTACTTCTAAAATTTATTCATTGTTGAGACTTTTTTTCTCGTTCTTTAACAGTCGTCTGTCGTAGATAAAAAATAATTTATTGCTACAAAAGTTAATAGAGCAGCTAAGTTTTTTATTTGATTACTGTAATCTTTATGACTTACACATATTTATCATCTAGTTGTTCTTTTAAGATTTATACTGAAAACGGAATATATACTCAGCATTATATTCTTTTTTATGGTATAAGAGTTAAAAAATTAAAGTTTCTTCGCGTAAGAGTTTCAATCGACGACGAACTCAGTAAAATAACAAGCTCTAAAATGAAATCATTAATGAAACTAAGCTATTTAACATTTTTTTCAACTGATTTATTAAGATCAATCAGTGTGACGTTTTGTTCTAACTAAGAACATTATCAAACACAAATAAATAGACAGAAGAATATATATAAGAGTAAAATAATGTCGTCGTTTTTCTATTCTATTGTTTTAAACATTCTAATGCAGACAGATCAATTTTATTCCTCCGTGTATTGAAATGCTTAAAACAATAGAATAAAAACGATGACATTATTTTACTCTTATATATATTCTTCTTCTGTCTATTTATTTGTGTTTGATAATGTTCTTAGTTAGAACGAAACGTCACACTGATTGATCTTAAGAAATCAATTGAAAAAAATGTTAAATAGCTTAGTTTCACTAATGATTTTATTATGGAATGTGGTGCTACCAAATGACAAATAAGTTCTATATTATATATTTTTTCTACGAATATCGTATTTTGTCAACTATTTCGATGGAATGGACAAGAAAGTTTTCCACAAATACTATCCTAAGAAAAAGCAAAAATTAACGCAGAACGTAAGGTGAAACTAAATCCTCTACATCGTTCAATTCTGAAGACTTCTTCTATTAGAGTTATCTGAATCTTTTTGCTCATGTTTTCTAAGCTCGACCAACGGTCAATGAGAATCCTTATTCACAATTCGTATACAGTAAATATGTGAATTTCTTCGTAATCTGAATAGTATTTTAGATTAAATTCAGATATCATTCATGTATCTTATCTTTGTGTGCATTCACATCGCTCGCAGAAGTAATGTTTACTTATTGAGCAATCTTCATCGAATGAATGTGCTGGACGGATTTATTTTCTCTTTTGTCCTTCTCCAACGTTATTCGTTTTTCCTTCCTCTTCTCTGAATTTTTTCTTTTACTTCTTGACTTAAATTTTTCTTTTCTTTCCTTTGCTTTTCTATCTCTCCAATTTGATTAAGACTAACAATCAATTACTAAGCATATGTGATCCGTTCTGTTTATGCCACATACATTTGTCGAATATATATTAACTGAAAATATTACTCTCTTTTGACTTGGCTAGAGGTTTTAATTGGATTATGTAGCTCATAATTAATAATGTTGTATTGCTTGTCATAAAACGAGTTTCAATTAGCACATATACTGATGAGTTGATAATTTGTGATGAAAACTCTAATGCAGCAAATTTATGTTTGAGAATATTAGGAAAATTTATCGTACGTTTCGAGCTTTGAGCATAATCAAAAAATTAGGATTTCAATGTGAAGATTGAGACTTTAAATCAATAAAATCAACCTCTATTTTTTCGATATTCTAATATTCGCACCAACACATTATTTTGATTCATATGATGTCAATGTTATGCGGATTCTTACTTTAATCAAAGGAACTCTTTTTCACATAATTAAATCTACAGCGAATACTTTTTTGAAGTAATTCAGCAGATCAAAAGATAAATGGAAGCTCGAAACGGACTAAATGTCTTTCACGCGTACTGTGAAAGAATAAAAAATACAAATTCACGAGAATATAAATAATTATGGGAACCAGTCCCAAAAAAAAAGATTAATCTACTTTAAGCATTTACAGCTTTTTTCGTTGGAAAAGATGATCATAAACATTTCTCACTATCTTTTACGAAGAAGAAAATGACTTATATAACCGTTTCAGAGACTATTTAATGTGAATAACGCTTGGAAACGCTGACTAGACGTAAAAACGGCAAGAAAAGTGATGATCACGTTTTTTCTTGCCGTTTATTACCGTTTCCTAATAGAACGGATGATTATGACAGTTTAAACGGCATTTTCAGCGTTTCACTTCTTCCTGGGATGTCAAGTTGTGCATCACTTCAGGATTTTCCAGTCAGTACGTTTTAACCAGCAAAAAATTCTCTACAAGATACACTAGGTCCCGTTGCTGGCGCCGAACTTCGATGTAAACTTGGTATGTTTCAGATGGATTTGCTCTTAATTAATTCACTTAATGATTTCAATATGCTTATACATTATACCAAATATACTAGTTTATAGTAAATCTGATGTAATTGTAATTTTCCTTGTGGTTACGTATGATGATGGCGTCTCTAAATATATGCTGAAATACCACGTGGTGTATTGAGAATAACATTAACTGTTCTTATTGTTATTTTTTTATTTCATTATATCCTTTGCCTATCTACCTCTCATGTTTGTTATTCTTCAGAATAGTTGTAATCTCGGATTTTCTTGAAATATTACAACAATATTTTTTTGCCACTGCATCCATAAACGTTGGAGAATGCAATATTTTGAAATAATTTCAATATCAAAAGGAGACACAATAAAATTACTAAGAAATAGATCGAACTGACAGCTTTATGAAAAACAGTTATTTTCGAACTTTTGGAGACTCTTAACTGCATGTACCTAACATTTACGAAACAGTTCCCTTACTAGACACTATCAGTATTGCACATGTACACATCTTACTGAATTCACAACGAGTCTAAGTTATAAGTTTTAAATGAATAGTGTGTATGCAAGTAATGTTCAGTATAAACATATTACACGCTCTAGTTACAGACTATATTCATTTCTTCAACTTTGAATATATATTTGGCAATCGCAAGATACTTAATGCTAAATATTCTATTTTGGGTTAATTCAAATTAAACTAACCCCATAAGCTCAATATTTACATAAATAAAGACAGCACTATTCATAAAGCTCTGTCTTAATCAGATCAGAACAATGTAAAAATTACTCTATTCATTGGTATTTATTCTAAAATAAATTATTCTCCTTTACCAACATAAAAATCAACAGCGAATAAAAATATTCAGATAGTTCTATGCCAAGTATATATGCAGACAACTTCACACTCGTGTACTTACGAGTTTATTTTCTTACCTTGATTAGATTCATCAATATTTCGTTTCTGTTTCTTTGGCCATAATGCTAAAGCATTTGTTACAGCTAAATGCAATCGATGACCTATGCACCAAATATGTTGTGCATTGGTTTTTATTAGAGACACCGCTTTCGATAGATTTGATGCACCATCTGTAACTATTCGATTAATTTTATGAAGGATATTTAAACCTTCTAATTTTTTTTTAAATTTTGGAAATTTGTTCAGATGTGTGTCGGTGGTCAAATGAACAAAAAATAAGTATCCTTGATTTCAGTTGATGGTCATTATTATAGAAATGACCAGTGACCACTAAAAAACCACGATTGGTTCTATCGGACCAAAAATCCAATGTAATTGTTAATGTTTCAATAAGCTTTAATTGTTCAATCAATTTATTACGATGCTTAGAATACAATCTTTTGATTTTACGTGCAACAGCATTACGATGTATTGGACGATAACCTATAAATACATTAAAATTAATGGTACAATATCAATATTATATTGAATCATCTTTTCTCTTGACTTTTGCACGATTTCATTAAAAGGAGTACTTATAAGTATTCTAAAACAATGAGTTGAGATCTTAGATATATATGCTTCATGTCCGTCATTGTTACCTTATATATGTTGATTCTCTTTATCTCTTCTTATGATATTTTTACGGATGGAGTAAGACTGACTAATTGATTAGACTTACTTTTCTTCAATAAAGCTAAATTTGAAGAAAAGTACAAACTTTTATGAACACAGTAAATATGTGAAACTCTGCTTAAATATCTGGTGGAAAAAGTGTTGCGTCTTTTCCTACATGTTTTTTTTTCTGTTCTTTAAACCAAGGCTACTCTATATCATATCGAACATAATTCAGATAAAAAAAAAGTAGTCTTATATTACCCGGAATAGCCTCTTGTATTAGTTTTGACAAGCCAGTGTTATTAAATGCATTGAATGGTAAATTGTCCTTGATTATAGCTTTGACAGATAGTTTATGAAATTTTTCCTTGAGACGTTGACTAATTGTTGATGTTTTTTTTTTATTGTCATCTGACAGTATCAATTCCTGTGTGTCGTGAACTTCGATCAAATGACGACGAATGGAAGTCGTTGACCAATTAACAGTTGAAATATGTTTATCACATAATAAACAAATAGCATACTTCTTGTCCCTGCTTCTCTTGGCATATTTCCATACAGATGATATCTTAGGTGATTGAAGTACAGTTTCTTCTTTCTCCTCTTGACTAGTCTCATGATCAATAGTAATTGGTGATGTTATTGCATTATTAACGGATTGCTTTAAAATTTTCTTTGTATTCGAGCTTTTTGAAGGTGTATGCTTGCGTTTTGTTGTTGTTGTTGGAATCGATGTTGATTCAAAATAGCTGCCATCAAAATCTGCATCTGAACCTGTAATAGTTGCATCCTAATTAATAATACCAGATAATTTATGTTCATTACCTTTGTCTGTTGTTTGAATCGCATCATTATTATTTTGGGGTATGTTCGATATAGTTTCAGTTGAAGTATCGCATGAAACATTTGTTAGAGATAACGAATCAATATTGTTAATGACATTGCTATTAACAAATGATTTATTTATTACTTGTGTACTACTGTTAGTAGTTTTAGATTTAACTTTTGTATTTGATGATCTTTTCACCATATTATGAGGAATAAATGTGCATCTGAAATATGAAAAAAGATGAATTCATCAAATAAATCAAGTTGTAAGGTCATTAAATTGCAAAGTAAACGGCATACTATTTAATTTTTGATATTATACAAGTATTTATAGTTTCTTGAATGAAACCGTTATCGTTATATCATTATTTTTTCGAATGATTTTTTAACGTTTTTTTTCTCTCGTCCGAAATCATTAATTAGTGCGTGACCATATATACACGTATATATATGTAAATATATGATACATTCGTCGCTAAGTCGACAGACGTTTCTCTCTCTCTCACTCTCTCTCATGCACGCACACACACTCTTACTCTCTCTTGACGTCCAGTCAAGCATTTAAATAACATAAAATTCCGTTTGAAAATTATTCAAACGTTTTGAAGCTACCAAATAATTAAATTTTCATTACATATGTTGTAAATTGCAAAGACAATACTAAGTAGGCTTGCTCTTCATATATATATATATATTCATACGAAGGAAATATTTTATAACAAAGTAAAATGAAAAATTCTGTAGCTGATGTTTGTAATAGCAAATAATTATTTTTGAAAATCATCTTCTAAGCTTATTTTTTGTAATAAATAAAAAAAATGTGAACTAGGTACAACCTGGATCTGTATAATGAATTTAAAACAAATGTTTGTGAAACTTGTATATTTTTCAAAGAAAACGGGCGCGTCAGTTTTAAGACGAGGTTTTTACAGTGTCTCTCCGACTTCATTACAGCCCATTGCACCCAGATATTCATCATTACAGGTACTTTTCATTACAGATTTATGATAATTATTTACAACGGCATTATTTCTGATTGTATTCAGTTCTTATAATAATGAAAGTTTTAAATTAAAAAAAAAGGACAGTGAAAAAGTAAGAAAAAGTTAAGAATAATAGAGGTACAAAACAAGACACTTCTTTCAAAGAAGAATATTTCTTCTTAAGATATGGAAATGTTTTCTATTGATGCGCTGCAATCAAAGAAGATATGTGAATTCCACATCTGAGCCTCAAATGGGAATATCTTGACGAGCTTCGTTTGATTCGAAATCTATTTACCTCCAATCTAAGGAAGATGTTCTAAGCATTGTTCTAGGAACTATTAGCAAAGTGAAAATACAGTTTGAAACTCAAAATAATAAACCGAACATTCATGACTATACTTTCTGGTATTGTACTATTTTGATCGATGACAAGCTTTCATTTAATACAAGACTCAATCATATTCATATTGATATTTTATAAAATGAATTCGGCTTTTTCTATTTTTCACTTCAGTATCGATCTTACAGGAAACATTTTTCTAATACAAGCTGTTATAGAAATCCATTATCCAGAGGGATTATTTGTGGCGAAGAAAAGAATTCAACAGATAACAATAAACAAAAACTATGTCTATATAGATAGCTCGGAAAAGTTTAATGAAGACGTATGAAATTTAGTTATAGTATTCTAAATTATAAGGATTGATACGTAGAAATATATGATTAGTCGATGGATTCAATGTTATAGCGTACATAAGTACTCCGAGAGCCTAAGAATCACTGTATGACAATATACTAGAAAAGAAAAAATTACTTCTCTACTAATGGACTAAAATCAAAAGACTGAGCACCCAGTCGTGACTGGGTTCCAGTCAGGACTGGGACTGGTGCATCCATACCCACACCCACACCCACACATGCCACACCCACACCCACACATGCCATACCCACACCCACACCCACACCCACCCACACCCACCCACACCCACCCACACCCATTCCCCCACACCCACCCACACCCACCCAC